TACCTGACTTGCCTATCCCGAATCACGAGCAGCCGACGGAGACGTCGGATCATTCTCGAGAACAGATGATACGCCAGGCATGCGCTGAAGCTATCACACAAGCCACTGCAGTAGCCAGGACCAATCATGCATGACGTACTAAGACAACTATCACGGGTCAGCACTACTACGATGAAGGAGATCTACTTGATTACCATCGCCCCACAACCACGAAGGACGACTGGGGAGGCTGGAATGGCCCCTTCCCGGTCGTAAGAAATGATCCCGACAGGGGTCAAGTCATCATTCGAGTGGGAAACAGCGACGTTCAGGTACATTGCGGCGATGCACGACACGCACTTTACATTGAAGCTTTGATAGCTAGAGAAAATGGCTCCGAGAACACTGCGCTACGGACAGAGTTGACGTTCGTGGCCAGTCTACCTGCGGGGGGACCTGCTGTGACATTTGGTTATGTCCCGACCAAGTAAGGGGCGCTTCAGATGAGAAGTTCATGCCGACTATCTCCTAAGGTACATCTGGCTTTGCAATGCCTCATCAGAAACTTCTTCCGCATCGAGAATGTAGTATATGTCAGGTTAACCAAGAGTATCCATAAGCTACCCCCGGTGGCCTACGCTGACAGGTGCACATTGGTCCAGGATTTCACTGCTATGAAGCAGAAGGCACCGCTCTTAACATTCATGGTGTAACTAGATCAGCACATTCAAGGATCACCCAGTGCCTGAAGTCCACCAAACCTCAAGCGGGCTTTGACCAGGACATGACAAAGTTTGAGGAATTGGCGGGTATACCGACACAGGACGGAACCGAAAGAGAAGCTTCTGAAGCCGAACCACCGCAGGAGGATGGACGGCTTCCCACGATATGAGAAATCGGAGGCGGACCTCGAGGCACATATTATAGAAGAGTGGTATACAGAACTACGTGATGAACGGGAACTGCTGGAGGGAACTCCACCAGAGGACCTTTTCACAGTACCCGCGCAAATTATTCCAGACAACAGTGTGCTGATCACTGTAGCTGAAGAACAGCGGGGGCACCTGCCTAAGTGGGGGCACCCACGCGACTCCGACATCGAGGAGACGTAGCATGTCCCACTGTGCTCCACGGTCGAAGATTGCAGTTACGGGCTCGACCCAGACGAAAACGGACAATATGTAGAACGCTGCTTTGCGGCAGAAGTGCCAGAGGTAGTCCTATCCGAACAACAGCGCAGGATATTACATGCCGACCGTGTTGCCACCATGCGAGTATATATGATCCAGGGTGGAGGGTTCACGGGCCCCCCCCCCACATGGTATGGTTCCAGGATTCCTCGGCCCCCCCCCCAGATGGTATGGTCTCAGAGACGACGACGACGGCGACGACAACAACGACGACGACGACGACGACGACGACGGCGACGACGACGACGACGACTACGACGACGACGACGACGGCGGCGGCGACGACGACGACGACGACGACGACGACGACGACGGCGGCGGCGGCGACGACGACGACGGCGACGGCGACGGCGACGGCGACGGCGACGACGGTGACGGTGACGACTACGACGACGACGACGACGACGACCACGACGACGACGACGGCTGCGGCGGCGACGACGCCGGCGGCGGCGGCGGCGACGACGTTGATGACGACGATGACGACGGCGACGACGACGATGACGACGACGACGATGACGACGACGACGACGAAGACGACGACGACGACGAGGACGACGGGGGGGGAGAGGGGGGCACCGCAGCGCAGCACCACGCCACGCCCTCTTCTGAACCACCACAGCACCGCACCACATCCACAGGGGGGGGGGGGGGGGGGCACCGCAGCGCAGCGCCGCGCCATGCCCGCAGGGGGGGGCGGGGGGGGCATCGCGCGGGGGGGGGGGGGGGCCAATGGCATCAGCATTGGGGGGGGGCCCAAGCCCTGGACCATCTATGGCCGCCGCTGCAAAGCGAGCTGTGGTCGTCAAGGAAGACGACCTCTTCGCGAAGGCTGACATCCCGGCGAATCCCGAGAAACTATCGAAAGCCTTATGCGCTGAACTCAAGACATGGTTTGGCAACAAGTTTTTCAACGTGCAAGATATATCTAAAGCGTCAAACATCATGACTTCGAGATATGTGTACACATGGAAGTTCGTGAAGAACGAGAAGGACGAGATGGAACGTGCCATCAGATTGCGCCTGGTGCTTCGAGGCTTCATGGACCTTGAAGCCTTCGGCGCGGCGGTCAATCCAGAGGTTGCTCCCAAGCGCGGCAGCGTGCAAGAAGCAGTGGATAATTGCTTCCCTTGACATCAACGTGGCCTGCCTGGAAAGGCTGACCTAACAGGGACTCGCTGAGGCAACTGGTGAGAAAGAACGTGTGGCGTGCTTTACTCTGCCGCCTGGATCGGCTACGGTGCTTCGAACTCTCCCAGGATTCGAGCGCTACGACGAGTCAAAGCATTGCTTGCAGTGCCTCAAGCCAGGTACTGGCACCAAGGGCGCACCTCGAGCTTTCTCACTAAAGCTCAGAAGGGCCACGAGAGGTTTCGGTCTCAGACCCATGTCCTACGACGAGGAGTTCGAGACGAGCAGCAACCTGCTCACAGCCAAACATGTTGATGACGTCAATATGGCCGGTACAGAGGACACCGTTGACAAGTGCGTCAAGTGCGTGGAGGACGCATTTGGTAAGTGTAAACTCAACAAGCACACGTGTGCCAATTGCGGTGTGAGATGTACCGAGGATGATGACGGCAGTGTTACGTTGGACGAAGACGAATACATCAGGCAGCTCCGTCCTATGCAACATCCTGAACGTGCGCGCGCCGGCGCTGACGCCCACGCGTCCAAGACGGTTGCAGACATGTTCGTCAGCCTCAGAGGCGCATTGGCGTATGCACTAACCACCCAGGTGTGGTAGATGGTATATGTTGTCTCTCTGCAACGTGTCCAGGAACCGACCGACATACAAGTGCGACGATTGAACGCGGTTACCAGGAAACTGCTGGCCTGCCCTAAGAAGATCGTCTACCAAGCGATGACTCCCACGGGCGAAATTGATCTGCAAAGCGACTCAGGTTATCGACGCCTGAGTGGAGATGCCGATGGCGAAGTCAAAGGTTATGGTATTCGCGGAGCAAACCTGCTACGGCGTGGAAGCACGCCATCTGGCAAGCCTGTTGTTCATTTGATCGATGCGTACTGCGAGTCTCACCGCGTGCAGGTCCGCTCGAGCTACTCAGCGGAGACATTAGCAACAGCCCACAACTTGGAGGACTGCTATCCCACGATCGTGATTCTGCACGAGCTCCATGCAGGGCCTATACCTCCCACTCAGTTGAAAGACGTACTTGAGTTGGGTGGCCTGGGCATCAAGGCACTTTGACCATAGATGCTGAGTCTGTTTGTAAGTCCGTGTCAAGCAAAGACTTGAAGAAGCCGACTGAGTGTACCCTTTTAGGACACATCAGCTGGATACGACAGATGGTGGAGCGAGGAATCGAGCACAGTATTCAACGGTGTGACACCCGCGATATGACCGCGGACGGTCACACAAAGGGGGGCATCGACAGAGAAATGCTCCTACAGGTCATGGGAGGTGCGCAATTCTTCAAACATGATTTAAAGCGTCATGCTCCTTATCGGTCTGGCCAGACATCTCGGTCTGCAGTCGCCCGAGGAATATTCGTATGCACAGTAAAGTGCAGGCAAGGCAACCTGCGCGCGGGTCCACCTTACTTACGGCCCCGCCTTTTTGCTGCCCTTTTGTACATGGTAGCTGCTGTACCTGCTGTATAGAGGCGGCGGACTCACGCTTCGCCTCCCTCCCCCCCGACTCTAAAGTGAGCTGGGCGATGCAGGTGCGTGGGGACGAGCGTGCGCCCGCGGCCGCTTGGCTCAAAGCGGCCGGCCGCCTAGATCTGACTACACCTCAGCGCGAGGTGTACTATTTTCCATCGAGACCACAACATCCTTTGCTTGAGATGGCTCGTCGCTCCCGCGACGATCTCCTACTACTGGGGCTATCGTTACTACGGTGCAACAGAGCTGGAGCTGGGCTTCGCCTAAGGCGGAGCTGCTGGTTGGGCTTTCCAGCCTCTTTCAAATTCTTTGCGCCTCACGGCGCGGTGGCGGATCCATACAGGGGATCGACCAGCCAATGGGGCTGTGGCGCGCGTAGTTGTGTCGTGCCGTGGCGTGCTGCGTGGTGCCGTAAGTGTGTGAGCGACGTCAGTGGCGCGCGGTGATGCTCATCGCGATGTGATGAACGCGTGGCGCTGTTTATCGCGAAATGATGCTTCTCACAAGAGTGAATGCAGTTTCTGACTCGGATGCTTCATGATTCCTGCTCCTCATACTTCCTGGCAGTTGATCATGGTATTGCTCTTTGTGTGCAGGGTGGGCGCACGAGGTCTCGTTGGGAAACACTCCATATTTGGATCTTTTTATGTTTAAAGGCTGAAGGCCCATCTTGACGAGGACGAATCATAACCACGTTCGTTCGGTGGCCCTAGAGAACCACCCTCAATGGAATAGAGGGGGCCTGCTCCAGCCATTTTTCTACGCATGAGGATTTGATTTGGGCCAGCCAGCAGGGGGGAGAGGGGGGAGCCGGTATATTAGGATCAGTAGTTGGATGATGAAGAAGATGATTGTGGTGGTGATGATGATAGCGACGACGACGGTGATGCTGATGATGATGATGATGATGATGATGACGATTGTGATGCTGATCATGATGATGATGCTGATGATGATGCTGCTGCTGATGATGCTGATGATGATGCTGCTGATGATGATGATGATGCTGATGTTGCTGCTGATGATGATGATGATGATGATGATGATGATGATGACGAGGAAGAGGAATAGGAAGAGGAAAACAAGGAGGAAGTGGAGGTTTGGCGAAATATGAGTGTCCGAAGACAGGGCTTAGCGGGAGTGCTAGTTGGCAGTGCGCTTCGTGGAGATCCAGGAAGATGGTGCCCCTCTCGACGTCGCCAGGCCCTGATGCAGGCCTTCTCCAGGTTCGGCATGGTGGTCAGCGCGCGCATACCGCGCAAGGCTCCTGCCTCTGCCGTGCAGCCTTAGCCAGCGATGGTGTTGTCGTCAGCGACAGAAGCGATGGCTGCGCACGGCGACGCTTGAGATCGAAGGCGGCAGTTCGAGCGCCAGCCTTGACGACCGCCGTGTTCGCTCTCGAGGCCACAGCAAGTTTGACCAGAAGCGCAGCAGCCATAGGGCGCTCAGCGTGACCAGTGCGCCGATGAACCGCGATCAGCATGCCGCGCTGTAGAACAGAAGGCGCGCAAAATGAGAATCCGGCCTGCCAGAAAGTGACTCACGGGAGTTTCTGACGTTTCCCTTGGTGGCCCTCTCCGTTGCCTCCTCTCCGTCCCCTTCTCGCCCGCTCCTGCTCCCGTGCTCCGTGCAGGATGTCTTGGCTCGGTGCCCCGCGTGCTCTCTGATACAGACGCCGCTGTCCCATCGCCCCATAAGCCCGCCTCCTCGCGGCAGGCGATGACGCGGGAGCCCCACAGCTTCGCCTTCATCTCCTTCCTCGAGAGAGAAGATGCTCAGCGGGTCCGCCGTGCCGTTTCGCTCTTCCTGTTGGGCTTTCGCTTCCCCTTGCTGCTGGCGCCGACGTTCGTTCGCATGCGGCTTCTCTCCCCCAGTCCCCGAGTTCCCCCTCAACAAAAAACTGGCTGCTCAGAAAAGAATGGGACCTCGGGGATGCCCCCCCTGGGGGCTATTCGGACGCACTCCTATCGAGGATGGACGCCTTTCCGTCGTATATCCTCGAGTTGAAGCCCAGAACGCTGGGATTGGGATGGCCATACCCCCGTTATTAGTGTCGCCCACCGTTGCCAATACAAATTCCGTCATTGCTTCCTTTCATCACGACGGTCACCGTTTGCGTTGCCATTGCCAGGGCGATTTTCGTGATTGCTGGCATGGTCGTGGCAAGAACCTTCGTATCGCACTCGCTGGACGTAACTAACTCTTGTGATAGTCGTCACCAGCGCTACCAGTTTCACTGTCACGATGATTCGTGCTTCTTGACATTATCATAAGCGGGATTTGCAGCATTACCGTTCACATCGCAGATAGAAGTTACCCCTATCCCCATTCGTTGGTTCCAAGCGTGATGGGAGTACTACCGCCATGCTTCAATACCATGATCGCAGTCATGCTCATGATGGTGGCGCTTGGGCCCCAGACCCTGCAACTGGAGCTATAGCCATGACGCTGAAATAAGAACCGAGGAGTCACGACGCTGACATGGCCACGACGCTGCTGTAGCACCAGCTCCCCCTTGGACTCGGGAGGGGCTCTGGTCGTCGGGCTTCTCCTAAGACCCAGGCTGGGGCACCTGTTCGTGACCGAGGCTCGCTGTGGCCAGAAGGGCCCTTTCGTTAGTCATCTGGCGCCCCTCGTGGTCGGGCGACGAACACCATGCACGTGCGCCGATCCCGGCGAGATCCTTCCTGGGCCCAGGCTCGGTGCTTTATGCCTTCTTTGCCAAGCGAGGAGGGTGTAGGCACGGATCCCGGGCTCAGGGCGGCCTGGCCAGGATCGCTGTGTGTGCGTGCGTGTGTGTGTGTGTGTGTGTGTGTGTGGTGTGTGTGTGTAGGTGTGTGTGTGTGTAGGTGTGTGTGTGATTGTGTGTGTTGAGCGGTTTGAGGACCCGGCCGTTAGTCGCGCACGCGCGCGCGTTCTTTTGTCCGGCTTGCTACGCCCTGTCGCTGCGCGCGGGGCCGAGGGGCCCGCGACGCCAAACATATACGTACGCCATACATATATACATATATGTGTGCACATCTATGCAACGAAATATAGAGGTGTTTACATATGATATGTGTGTATAGAGGTGTTTTTTTGTGTGTGTGTGTGTGTGTGTGAATGTGTGTTCGTTGCTCTCTTCCTCCGGTGGTGGCAACACGATGGCTGTGCCACCTCCGCCCCGCGGCAGCGGTGGGAGTCGGCGGCGCGCCAGGGCGCCGGGTGGCACGGCGCGGGGGCTCGCGGGGTCTGGTCGGGCCCAGCGTCGAGCGGCGGCGAGCGCCAGCGGCGGCGCGCCAGGGCAGATCTGACAGCCTCGCGTGGCGAGCACACCTCACGACGGAAGCCTGTGTGTGACCTGCGGCCTCCTGGGGCCCTCGGGCCCTGGGCTCGTCCCGAAGCGGCTCGTGGCGAAGCGCTGGTTCCTTGGCAGGGGTCCAGACCTCTGGGGAGCCACGCTGCGACATACTCGCGACCTCGGAGGTCTGGGAATCAGCGAGCGAAAAAAGGTATAAAATAAACTTTTTCGCTGTCGGGGGCGCCTGTCCCTGGGCGGCTGGAAAGTTTATACCCTTACGGCCCTCCTCCCGTGCATCCGGCGGCCCGAGTCTTCCAGGGCACGGGCCCCCGGATCTCTCGACCCCGTCTTGGGGCCGCTCTTTCCTCCCGGGTCGTCTCTCGACTCAACGGTCCCGGGCGGGGCCCGAATGGCGAAGCGCCTGCCATGTTTTTCCTGCCGCCAGGTGTCTGGGCTGGGCGTTCCCGTCGTCTCCCCTGCTCGACGGAGGAGGGGGGCGTGGGCTCCTGGTGCTCCGAGGCTCGACGGAGGGGGGTTTGCTTTCCTGTCCTGTCCCTGGCCCGACGGGGGGGGGAGGACTCTTGAGGCCCGGGGTCTCGACTGGGAGGGGCTCGATGTATAGACCACGTCGTTTGGTCGGCGAAGGAGCTCTGTGTACAGACGCCCCAGCTGCCCAACCCGTGGGGCACGCTGGAGCGTCTAGTTCTACACCGAGTTCCTTCGCCGAACTCCTCGACTCCCTGGCCGACCAGACGACAACTGTAGCAACGATAGCAGCGACAAGGATAACAACGATCACAACGATCACAACGATCACAACGATCAACAACGATCAACAACGATCACAACGACAACGACGAGCGCAACGATAACCACGACAACAACGATCACAACGACCGCAGCGATGCCATGGCTACCGTTGTGATCGCTGTCGGTGTCCCTGCCTGGCTGCCTCTCTCCATCTCCCGTCCCTCTGTCCGTCGGCCCGGTCTGTCCTTTCCTGTCGTCGTCTCTTCCTCGCCTCTTCCCCTTCTCGCTCCTCGGCTCCTCGCTTTCCGGCCCGTCCCCGTTTCGTCCCTGGTCCGCTTTTCTTTGTCGGCCCGCCCTTCCGCTGTCGGTGTATACATCGAGAGCCTCCGATCGACGGAGGCGGGCTCCACTGACCACGTGGCCGTGGGTCGGAGCCCTCGGCGCGACAGCGCACGGGGGGCCCGCGGGGGCCTGCCCGGCCCGCCCCAGGGGAGAGGGGGGCCACTTGCGGCGGCGAGCGGAGAGCGGGCGACGCGCCCAGAGGAGGAGGAGGAGGAGGAGGAGGAAGAGGAGGAGGAGGAGGAGGAGGAGGAGGAGGAGGAGGAGGAGGAGGAGGAGGAGGAGGAGGAGGAGTGAGGAGGAGGAGGAGGAGGAGGAGCAGGAGGATACGGAGGATACGGGAGGGAGGAGGAGGAGGAGGAGGAGGAGGAGGAGGAGGAGGAGGAGGAGGAGGAGGAGGAGGAGGAGGAGGAGGAGGAGGAGGAGGAGGAGGAGGAGGGGGCCGAGGCTGGTCGGGGCCAGCGGCCAGCGGGCGTTGCGTGAGCCGGCTGCACGTAGGAGGGACCCTTCGCCGGAGTGGCCTCTGGTTCAGGCTCACTGGGCCCCTGGATATGTCACCACCCACCAAACCAGCCCAACCCAACCCACCCAAACCGAAGGCTTCAATTTGACCTTCATTTCCAGTGTGGGGGGGGGGTCGGGGAACACTGAAAAAACACATCTGGAACCCGTACCCCCACCGTGAAGGGGGTGGGGGCGGTAGACGGGGGGGGGAGAGGACAGGTGCTTTTTTCCTGTGCACTTTAGGGGGGCCCGGGCAGTGGCCCTCTGGACCCAGGAGGGGGCCCGAGAGGTGGACGCTGCTTCGCCCCCCCCTCCGCCCCCCACTTTGCGGCCCCTCACGGAGCAACGCCCAAGACCAGCGGGGCGCAGTCGGCCCAGGGCACGGTCCGCGGGGCCAGGTCGGGGCAACAGGTGGGCGGCGAACGGAATCGGCGTCGCGCCGCGCCGCCTCGCCCGCGGCGCTTGGGCGGCTCTCCGTCCTCCCCGCGCGTTGCCCCGCTCTGGCCGATTCGCGTGCAGCGGGCCGTTTCAAAGAAGGGGGAAGAGGCGAGGATGTGCGGGAGGAGCAGGAGGCGGAGGGGGAGGGGGAGGAGGAGGAGGAGGAGGAGGAGGAGGAGGAGCAGGAGGAGGAGGAGGAGGAGGATGGTGATTCCACGAATCTGCAGCGACAGCGAGATGCGGTACCAGCTGCGGCGTCGCTCCTGATGATGATGCTGGTGCTGATAGTGCTGCTGCTGATGATAATGATGATGCTGCTGCTGATGCTGATGATGATGATGATGCTGATTATGATGTTGATGCTGATGCTGATGCTGATGATGATGATGATGATGATGATGATGATGATGATGATGATGATGATGCAGACGCTGATGCTGATGCTGATACTGCTGATGATGCTGCTGATGATGATGATACGGATGATGATGATGATGATGATGATGATGATGATGATGATGATGATGATGATGCTGAGGATGATGCTGAGGATGATGATCATGATGATGCTGTTGCTGCTGCTGCTGATGATGATGATGATGATGCTGCTGATGATGATGCTGCTGCTGATGATTATGCTGCTGCTGATGCTGATGCTGATGATACTGCTGCTGCTCATGATGCTGATGCTGATGCTGATGCTGCTGCTGATGATGATGCTGATGCTGATGCTGATGCTGATGCTGATGCTGATGATGATGGTGACCATGCTGATGCTGAATATAATGCTGATGCTGATGTTTATGCTTCTGCTGCTGCTGATGATGATACTGATGATCATGATAGTGCGGCTGATGATGATGCTGGTGCTGAGGGTGATGACGATGATGATGAGGATGATGATGGTACTGATGATGATGATGATGATGCTGATGAGGGTGATGCTGCTGATGATGATGATGATGCTGCGTCTGCTGCTCATGGTTATGATGATGTAACCGCTGGTGATGCTGCTGCTGCTGATGCTGCTGCTGATGATGCTGATGCTGCTGCTGATGCTGCTGCTGATGATGATGCTGATGCTGATGTCGATGATGATGATGGTGATGATGCTGCTGCTGATGATGATACTGATGATGCTGCTGCTGATGATGCTTATGCCATTGATGACACTGATGCTGATGATGCTGACGATGCTGATGATGATGATACTGCTTCTGATGATGATGATGGTGATGATGATGATGATGATGATGATGCTGATGATCAAGCGGAGGATCAGGAGGACGAGGAGGAGGCGGAGGAGCAGGATGTCGATGATGATGATGCTGATGATGATGATGCTGATGATGAGGCTGATTATCATGATGATGAGTCTGCTGATTCTGATGATGGTGATGATGCTGCTGAGGATGATGCTGATGCTGATGCTGATTATGATGATGAAGATGATGAGGGCGACGATGATCCT